AATGGGTTGTTTCTCTAGAGATCCCTAAGTGAGTGGTACACAAGGCATAAATCCTGTCTTGGGTCACAGAGCTGAGTAGAAGCTTTTCTTAGAGAAGACAAGCCCTCTGAGTGGTACTCACCACCCTGCATCCACTAATACCTCTTGGTATGCTTTGAGTTCTTCAGTGTCTGTTACATAGTGGCTGTTGAACAAGTATTGATTGATAAAAAATAAAATAATGCATTTTTTTGCATCTACCCTGGGTAAGGCACTTGCTAGGCACCATGTTTTACCTCATTTAATCCCCACAGCCACCGAGAAGCAGACAGCATTATTCCATTTTACAGACAAGGGAATAGAGACTTGAGACATCTCAAGGTCAAACAGCATTGCTCGAAAGTCACGTTCCTTTATCACATCATCCTGCCCGTTGTCCCTTACTCTGAAATGGCAATCAATTGCATCATGTTATATTTTTTTCCCAGATTCATCTTTTTGGTGTTTCATTGAGCTCTTTTCATTTTCTGGGATTACCTCTACAAGTTGTGCATGTGGAAGTGTGATTATATTTTCCTCTGAGTACTTTGCTCATCACTGACAGAGGGTCATCTGTTTGGAACCACCAGGCTTCCAATGACTTTTAAGAGATATTAGCACACCTTTACATGTCAATTATATTTTAAATATATAAATTATTCAACTTTATTGAAATAGCCAAGTATCATCATTCAAGGTGAATAAAACAGATTCTGGGAACAGCTTGATAACATTTTTACTCATTCCGTAACTATTGGCAGTTATTGCTTCACGTAGATCCAATCTTATCTCAGGACTTGAATAGAACAAGCTCACCACTGATTTCTCCAGGGCTTGTGCTCAGCTGACACTTGGAGGACGTTAGGACAGTTTGTGATGGAAAGTCCAGTTCCTCAGCTCTAATGGTCTTTGGTAGTCAGAGCAGGATAGTTCCCTCCTTGGCTTCTAGTGCTGTCCTTGTCGAATAAGATGGTTACCAGTCACTTGTGTCTATTGGGTTACTGAAATATGGCTATTCTGAATTGAAGTGTACCCTAAGTATAAAATATACACTGGGTTTCAAAGATGTAGTACAAAAGGGAGGTAAAATATTCAATTAACATTTTTAATGTTTAATACATATCAAAATAATATTTTGATATATTAGACTAAAGAACATACTACTGTATTAATTTCACCTGCTTCTTTATTATTTTTAAAATTGCTTATGAGGCTGGGTGCGGTGGCTCACACCTGTAATCCCAGCACTTTGGGAGGCCAAGGCGTGTGGATCACCTGAGATCAGGAGTTCAAGATCAGCCTGACCGACATGGTGAAACCCCCCCATCTCTACAAAAATACAAAAATTAGCAGGGCATATGGTGGATGCCTATAATTCCAGCTACTTGGGAGGCTGAGGTAGGAGAATCATTTGAACCCGGGAAGTAGAGGTTGCAGTGAGCCAAGATCATGTCATTGCACTCCAGCCTGGGCAACAGAGTAAGACTCCGTCTCAAAACAAACAAACAAATAAATAAATAATTGCTTATGAAAAAATGTAAAATTACATACGTCGTTCACCTTTGTAGATGTCATTATATTCGAATTGGACAATGTTATTCTAGAGAATGCCTTAGTTTGCTGTCCTCGATCAATCTTCAAGTTCCAGATTATTCCCAGATTAAAAGCCAAAGTGACACATAAATTTTAGGCAGTAGCTTAATTCTGTTTTTTGTGAATCATGGCAGTCTTTTCCCCAGTTAGAAGGTTTCTCAGCTGCCTTACTGACTCCTCCTACTTAACATACCTCTCCAAAAGGAATTAAGATCTTTGACCTGTACTTGAAATTTATTGAAAATTCAGCTAGTGGTACTTTCATCCATTTAGCCAAAAGAATTTATAGAAAAAACTATAGCATCTGAGAATGTCAATGCAAGGTTGGTCAAAAAGACAATTTGAGGTATGGTTGTACTCAGATCAAGGCTGGATCAGGCTTAGGGGACTAAAGAGTAGACTAAGGTTAGGACCAGATTCAATCAGATAATCTGAGCTAGGATCTCAGGCCACTGTAGGCAGCAGCCGAGGGCCTCTAGTCTGGCCAGAGCTCACAGGAGCATTTTCATCTAAGGCAATAAGATTCTTCTCCCCATCTCTTCACCGATTCCTGTCCCTGATACCTTCCTCCCAGCATAAAGAAGGCAAGAAACTTCTAAGGTAGGTTCTGATTCTCTGTGAAAGAAGTTGCCCTTTGTATTCTTTTAGAGAAGCCCTAGAGAAGGGTCGGGTATTGGTGCTCCGTCTTCTGAGTGACTGCACTCTCCGTTGGGGCTTAGATCCTTTCTAGGTTGGTGGGAGGCTAGGGTCCCGCGAGCTGTTCTGTGAGGCTGGACTGTTGACCAATGCTTAGATCCCAGAGGGCCTTTAACAAGACATGAACACAGTCTTAGTTTTTACTGGAATCCTGGTGCCCTCCACCCAGTTATTGAGAAAATATTCTCTAATAATCCATCTTCCCTCTGGCTGTGTATAGATTATGCATAGTTTTTGCTATGGGTAATATCTGCCGTGTGTAAGTTTTATGTTTATGAAAAACTATTTGTTTTTCAACTCTTTATTATTCAAACACACATAGGTAGAGGAAAGAGTATAATGAATCCCCATAGACTGTCACTCGGCCTCAGCAATTACCAACATATGGCTATTAAAAAAAATCTATGTTTCCTACTTCTCCCTACCCCCTGCTAGACATCATATTATTTCATCTGTAAATGCTTCAATTACGTGTTTCCTGGAGATACGAACTCTTATTCTTTAAACATAACCACAATACCATTTACCATCCAAAAATATGAGCTTTATTTTAGCTTTTATAAAAGCAATACATTTTCATTGAAAACATTCAGACAATACAAAAAAGATAGAAAGAAGAAAGAAAAAGTGACTCATAAACCAACACCCAGGTATAATTACCGTTAGCATTTTGTTACATATAGTTTTATATATTGTGCTTAGCACATATTATTTATACAAACTTATATAGAATCATTCTATGGATGATGTTTATAATCTTTTAAATTGTTTTTGGCAATCATTTACAAAATTAAAGTGTAAAGTACACAGAAAGAAGCGCACAAATTACAAGTGTACAAGTCCACAAATTTTCACTGTCATTTAACCAACTATCATCCAGGTCAGGAAACATGATTACCTTTAGCCCCAAACTTCTCCCATTCCTCTCTTAGTCATTAACCCCACTAAACATAGCTACTATTCTAACTTCCATTTCTACAGATTAGTTTTGCCTACTTTGGAATTTTATACAAATAGAATCATGCAGTATGTGTTCTTTTCTGTGTGACTTCTTTTGTTCCATTTTATATTTATAAGGTAAATCTGTGCTGTTGTCTGTGGTAGCACTAATTCATTTATTTTCTTTGTTGTGTGCTACCTTACTGTGTGAGTATATCACACTTTATCTATCCATTCTACTATTGATGGAATCCTCCTGCCCTGACCCATTGTGTTGCTATTAGGAACGTTATTTGGTACACATATGCATGCATTTCCACATCTGTTTTCTACATGACATTTCCTAAGGTATATACTTAGGAGCAGACTTGTGGTTTTACCAAATGGTGCTTGTACCAGCAACCTATAAGAGTTCCATTTGCTCCACATCTTTGCCAATACTTGGTTATTATCAGTGTTTTAAATTTTTTTTTATTCTGGTAAGTATGTAGTAGTAATTCATTGCAGTTTTAAAATTTATATTTCCCTAATGACTAATGAAATTGAGTGCCTTTTCATATGCTTTTTGGGTACATGTGTATCATCTTTTGTGCAGTATCTATTCATATTTTCTACATTTTTCTATTGGAAAATAAGAAATATGTATACTTCTTTCTACTGATTGTGGAATTCCTTTATATATGTTGAATATGAGTTTATTTGCAGTATACACTGAATATGTTCTCCTACTATGTGGGTTGCTTTTTCACTCTTAAGGTATCATTTGATAAACAGAAGTTTTAAATTTTGATAACATCTCATTATCAATATTTTTCTTCACGATTACAGTGTTTTGTGCCCTGTTGAAGAAATATTTGCCTACTCCAAAGCAATTAACATGTTCTCCTATGTTCTAAAAGCTTTATTGTTTTACTTTTCACTTTTTCTTTTACAACACATCCAAAATTATGTGTGTGAGGTAGGGATCAAAATTTGTATTTTTCCACATGAATATCCAATTGAATAAGCTTCATTTTTTTAAAAGACTATTTCCCACTGTTCTGTCGTCTTACCTTTGTGATAAAGCAAATGACAGCACACATGAGTCTGTTTATGGGTTCTCCATTCTGTTCCACTGTGCATTGGCTAACTTTGTGCCCTTCCACAAGTGTTTTAATTACAGGAGCTTTATAATGTAGTTTAATATCTGGTAGTTTAAGACCTCCACATTTGTTACTCTTTTTCAAGATTCTCCTAGCTATTTTAATACTTTGCACTTTTACATAAATTTTGGAATCAGCTTATCGATATCTATAAAATTTTTTAAAACATTGAGTTTTTTATTAAAATGGCAGTGAATTTTATATCAATCTGGGGAGAATTGATACATTCACAATATTGATTTGTTTCAACCTATAACTGTTGTCTTACCCCACCAATTTCAGGGTTCTTTAATTTGTCTTAATCAAGCATGTTGGTTTTTTTGTCTTCAGGTTTTGCACATATTTTGTTGGATTTATTTTAGGGTACTTATGTTTTGATGCTACAGAAAAGGACATTTTATATATATATGTATATATATATATAAAGTTTTTAATGGTGGTTGTATATAGAAATATAACTAATTTTTGTATATTGAGCTGTGACCTTGCTTGACTTGGTTAAATTAATTTTTCAATTTATCTATCAGTTTCTTTGTACATTCTTTTCAGTTTTCAAATATACCAGGAGGCAGCTTTATTTTTCTTTCTTTTTTTTTTTATTTTTATTTTTCACATCTCATGGGTAATGTGCCAACAGCATAACAAGGTTTGAGGAAGGCACACCTCATATGTGTGTGAAAAGCCAATCATCATGCTTATGAACTGCAAGATGACCCTATTTATTTATTTTTAATTATTTTATCCTCCTCTGCCTCTTGCCTTGCATTACATAAGATCTGTGATATAATGTTGAATAAGGGAGGTGAAAGTGAACATCATTGCATCACTCTTGATATCAAGGGTAAGTCTTTCAATATTTGTCAGTAAAAATGGTGTTCGCTGCAATTTTTTTTGTAGTTGCCCTTTGTGAATTAAGGAAGTTTCCTTCTGTTATTAATTTGCTAAGCGTTTTATTGCTTTCTAATTTTAAACAAGAACAGGTATTGAATTTTATCAAATGGCTTTCCTATATCTATAGAGATAATTATGCAATTTTTTTCTTCTTAATCCTTTTAATTTGTGAATTACAATCAATTACACTGATCAATTTCCAAATAAACAAACTTTGCTCTCTTAGAATAAGCCCAAGTTAATTGTAATGTATTGTTTTTTATAAATTGCTGGATTCAATTTGCTAATAATTTGTTTTGAATTTTTGCATCTATGTTTGTGTAGTATTGGCATTATTTGTTTCTTCAATGTGTGGTAAAATCCACTGGTAAAGCCATTTGTACTTGACTTTTGCTTCAAGTGTGATAGTTATTACAGATTAACTTTATCAGGGTGAGGAAGTTCTCTTTTATTCCCAGTTTTCTGACAACTTTAAAAATAAGAAATGATCATTAAATTTTGTCAAATGCTTTTTCTCTATCTATTGAGAGGATTTATATATTTTTGTCTGTTAGCATGGTGAATTATATTGATTTTTGAATATTAAACCAATCTAAAGTTCCTAGTCATGATATATTAACCTTTTTATATATTGTTGTATTAGATTTGCCTAAGATGTCTATTATCATTTGTAATGAGTATTTTTATTATTCCATTTTATTACTTTTGTTGACTTATTTGTTGTAACTCTTTGTTTTGTAATTTTGGTGTTTTCTTAAGGATTTATAGTATACATTTCTAACTTGCTGCAGTCTAACCGAAGGAGAGGAGAGGGTCACACAAAAGATAGAAAGAACTTCAAAAATTTGCAGAGGATCTTCCTTAAATATTCATCTAAATACTACTGAGAGCATGCATTTGAGGAAACTACCTGAGGCCAGGGAAAGAAATGCCTAAAAAGATTAGATGGGACAATGTATGACACTCACACATGACTGATACGGTGCCTATTCCCACTATATAGAATGGAATTCGTAATTCATGGAGCATCAGGGACAAAACCCAGAAGGGTTTTGCCTTGGTAGTGGAGAAAATTAACCCTAGGATAAACACTGCTCTAGTCTTATCTAACAAAGCTTACAAGCAAGCTTCAAAAGGTCAACCTGTTTTCAAATATTTTAACAGCATCTCAGGAAAATATAAGGAATACTTATAGGAAGGCAAAAATATCTGGCACCTAACAGGATAAAATTTATAATGTAGTGGTTGGCAAGTTGGCTGAGTAGAAACAGCTGTGATCTGCAGCTCCTGGTAAGATCAACATAGAAGGTGGCTGATTTCTGCATTTCCAACTGAGGTACCTGGCTCCTCTCACTGGGATTGGCTAGACAGTGGGTGCAGCCCACAGAGGGTGAGGCAAAGTAGGTTGGGGTGTCGCCTCAACCGTGAAGTACAAGGGTTCAGGGAACTCCCTCCCCTACCCAAGGGAAGCTGTGAAGGACTGTGCTGTGAGGAATGGTGCACTCTGGCCCAGATGCTACACTTTTCCCGTGGTCTTTGTAACCCACAGACCAGGAGATTCCCTTGGGTACCTGTGCCACCAGGGCCCTGAGTTTCAAGCATAAAACTTGTGCCATTGGGCAGACACTGAGCTAGCTGCAGAAGTTTTTTATTGCACCCTGGTGGCACCTGGAATGCCAGTGAGACAGAACCATCACTCCCTTGGAAAGAGGGCTGAAGCCAGGGACCCAAGTGGTCTAGCTTAGTGGATCCCACCCCCATGAAGCCCAGCAAGCTAAGATCCACTGGCTTGAAATTCTCGTTGCCAACACAGCAATCTGAAGTCACCTGGGATGCTCGAGCTTGGAGCGGGGACAGGGTGTCCATCATTACTGAGACTTGAGTAGGCAGTTTTCCCCTCAGTGTAAACAAAGCTGCTGGAAAGTTTGAACTGTGTGGAACCCACCACAGCTTGGCAAAGCTGCTATAGCCAGACTGCCTCTCTAGATTCCACCTATCTGGGCAGGGCATCTCTGAAAGAAAGGCAGCAGCCCCAGTCAGGGGCTTATCAATAAAACTCCCATCTCCCTGGGACAGAGCACCTGGGGGAAAGGGTGGCTGTGGGCACAGCTGCAGCAGACTTAAACATTCCTGCCACCTCTGAAGAGAGCAGCAGATCTCCCAGCATAATGCTCAAGCTCTGCTAAGGGACAGACTGCCTCCTCCAGTGAGTCCCTGACCTCGTGCCTCTTGACTGAGAGATACCTCACAGCAGGGATTGACAGACACCTAATACAGGAGAGTTCTGGCTGGCATCTGGCAGGTCCTCTTCTGGGATGAAGCTTCCAAAGGAAGGAATCTTTGCTGTTCTGCGGCCTCTGCTGGTGATACCCAGGCAAACAAGGTCTGGAGTGGACCTCCAGCAAACTCCAGCAGACCTGCAGCAGAGGGACCTGATTGTTAGAAGGAAAACTAACAAACAGAAAGGAATAGCATCAACATCAACAAAAGGACATCCACACAGAAACCCCATTTGAAGGTCACCAACACCAAAGACCAAAGGTAGATAAATCCACGAAGATAAGGAAAAACCAGCACAAAAAGGCTGACAATTCCAGAAACCAGAATGCCTCTTCTCCTCCAAAGGATCACAACTCTTCACCAGTAAGGGAACAAAACTGGGCAGAGAATGAATTTGATGAATTGACAGAAGTAGGCGTCACAAGGTGGGTAAGCTGAGCTAAAGGAGCATGTTCTAACTCAATGCAAGAAAGCTAAGAACCTTGAAAAAGGGTTAGAGTAATTGCTACTAGAATAGAGAATAACATAAATAACTGCATGGAGCTGAAAAACACAGCACGAGAACTTCATAAACCATACACAAGTATCAATAGTTGAATGGATCAAGTGGAAGAAAGGATATCAGAGATTGAAGATCAACTTAATGAAACAGTCTGAAGACAAGATTAGAGAAAAAAGAATGAAAAGGAATGAACAAAGCCTCCAAGAAATATGGGACTATGTGAAAAGACCAAACCTACATTTGATTGGTGTACCTGAAAGTGACAGGGAGAATGGAACCAAGTTGGAAAACAATCTTCAGGACATTATTCAGAAGAACTTTCCCAAACTAGCGAGACAGGCCAACATTCAAATTTGGGACATACAGAGAACACCACAAAGATATTCCTCAAGAAGAGCAACTCCAAGACACATAATCATCAGAATCATCAAGGTCAAAATGAAGGAACACATGTTAAGGGAAGCCATAGAGAAGGGTCAAGTTACCCACAAAGGGAAGTCCATCAAACTAACAGTGATCTCTCTGTAGAAACCCTACAAGCCAGAAGAGGGGGGGAACCAATATTCAACATTCTTAAAGAAAAGAATTTTAAATGCAGAATTTTGTATCCAGCCAAACTAAGCTTCATAAGCAAAGGAGAAATAAAATTCTTTACACACAAGCAAATTCTGAGAGATTTTGTCATCACCAGGCCTCCCTTACAAGAGCTCCTGAAGGACACACTAAAAACAAAAAGGAAAAACCAGTATCAGCTACTGGAAAAACATACCAAATTGTAAAGACCATTGACACTGTGAAGAAACTGCATCAACTAATGGGCAAAATAATCAGCTAGCAACATAATGACAGGATCAAATTCACACATAACAATATTAACCTTAAAGGTAAACAGGCTAAATGCCCTAATTAAAAGGCACAGACTGGCAAGAGTCAAGACCCATCAGTATGCTGTATTCAGTGTGCAAAGACATACATAGGCTCAAAATAAGGGAATGGAGGAATATTTACCAAGCAAATGGAAAGAAACAAGAAAAAACAGAAAAGCAGGGGTTGCCATCCTAGTCTCTGATAAAACAAACTTTAAATCATTGAAGATCAAAAACACAAAGAAGGGCATTACATAATGGTGAAGGGATCAATGCCACAAGAAGAGCTAACTATCCTAAATATATATGCACCCAACAGAGGAGCAGCCAGATTCATAAAGCAAGTTCTTAGAGACCTAAAAAGAGACTTAGACTCCCACACAATAATAGCGGGAGACTTTAACACCTCACTATCAATATTAGACAGATCGGTGAGACTGAAAATTAACAAGGATATTGAGGACTTGAACTCAGTTCTGGACCAAGTGGATCTAATAGACATCTATAGAATGCTCCACCCCAACAACAAAATATGCATTCTTCTCAGCACCACATTACACTGACTCTAAAATTGACCACATAATTGGAAGTAAAACACTTCTCAGCAAATGCAAAGAATGAAAATAATAACAGTCTCTCAGACCACATTGCAATCAAATTAGAACTCAGGATTAAGAAACTGAAAACCTCATAACTACATGGGAACTGAACAACTGCTCCTGAATGACTGCTGGGTAAATAACAAAATTAAGGAAGAAATAAATTAGTTTTTTTGAAACCAATGAGAACAAAGACACAACATACTAGAATCTCTGGGACAAAGCCAAAGCAGTGTCTAGAGGGAAATTTATAGCACTAAATGCCCACAGGAGAAAGTGGGAAATATTTAAAATTGAGAAGCAAAAGGAGAAAAGAAAATGCCCCAACTCATTCAGAAGCTAGTGGAAAACAAGAAATAACTAAAATCAGGGTAGAACTAAAAGAGATAGGGACATGAAAAACCCTTAAAAAAATCAATGACTCTAGGAGGTAATTTTTTGAAAAGATTAACAAAATACATAGACCACCAGCCAGACTAATAAGAAAAGGGAGAAGAATCAAATAGACATAATACAAAATGATAAAGAGGACATCACCACTGATCCCACAGAAATGCAAACTACCACCAGAGAATA